GGGGGAGGGAGGTGAATAATTACTCGGGTGGGGTAATAGAGAAATATTGTATATTCAGAGAACGGTTTGAACGTTTAAATATAATAAATCGTACACTCCAATTAACGGCCTTTTCTTATAATTAATCAAGTGTGGGGGGTAAGGCCAGCCAGCTTGCGGCACACCGGCAAACAATAATGATAATACTAATACTGAAAAGTAAAGTGACCAAGTGAAAGAACAAAAGAAAAGGGGAGAAGTTAAATAAATGCAAAGGGGGGTGAAGTTAGAGGAACGATCGAAAGATCAATAAAGAATAAGGGGATTATCCTTAACCTAATAATTATTAAATGTAGAGGCTCACCGTTGGGGCGGTGGGGGGGGAGATATTATTACCGGGGTGTCGGGAATACTTGTTGGGGCGGGAAAGGCAAGAAAAGGGTACTCACGGGGATGGCGGCTTCCTCAATCCTTCTCCACAAAAGATCCTCAACAGCGGGAATTCCTCCAAACTCTCCACGGGCCACGTGTCCACCAACCACTCCGCAAATAACTCTCCGCAAAATTCTTTCCAAATTCTCCACAAACTCTTTCCAAAACTCTCCACAAAACTCTCCAAAAAAATGTTATCTAAAACTCTTCCCAAAACTTCGCTGCACATATATATATCCAACGCACGGGGCAGCTGTATAACGAGTGATGGCGTCTCATCACTCGTTCCCCTTCTTCCCCGATTATCGGTGATAATCGGGTTCAATCGGGGACACTCGTCATTGAGTGTCCTCGTCATGATTATAAATTCATCGATTCTTGATGGATGTCCTTTTCTTTCTTCCGGGTCACGTGGGCCGTGACGTAGGGGTGGTGGGTTTCGGTTGTTGTTCACCGCGCTGCGTGTGGTGATGAGAGGAACGGCAGGTGCGGGGGGGCTTCTCCTTTTCGCCACGATGTCTCTGCTGGGCGCGAGTGCAGCGATGAGGTAGGGCGCGGGGCACGGGGAAAGAATATTTTTGGGAGTGGGACCCAACAGTGACAGGTTTCCTAACCTGTTGCCGTGTTCTTATGACTAAACCTTAATTCTAATTAAGACTAATTACGAAAGTGTTGATTAGGGGGGCTGGGGAGGGGCCAAATAAAAAGTGCCTCGTCACAATATACATACATAATTAATTGTATGTATAATATAATATATACATACAATATATATAACAGAGCGAATTTTAAATTTTGAATACACTAGAACTGAGCGCATATTTATTAGATCTTCCATACATTTTTTTTAGATCTTACATATTTACACATATATTCAGACACATGTTCTTCTGCTTCCACCTCAGTCTCAACCACCAACTGGTCATCTTTATACTTTTCCAAAGCATTACTGAATTTATTGATACACTTCTTGAAATAATACACTCATTCTCCTCCATTTTATATTACATATTTTCATTCGGAATATAGTTCCTTGTAGACATAATTCTTTATTAATGGGCTTGTACGTTGAGAACCCATATAAATTCTTAAAGATTTCCATGAACGAACGCGAGACATAGCCACATACAATTGTCCATGTTCTTCTTGAAATTCAAATAATGAAAATAATAGCTAAAACTTACCTTCACTAAAAATTAACGGACACTCGAAGACTGTCAATACGCGCGCGAAGCGCGCGCTCAGTTCTAGCCCTTCAAAAAAGTTGACGCCAGTACTCCTGCTATCTCGTCAGATGATCTGACGCAAGATGACGGGAATAATGGCGAGTCTTTTGAAAAGATTGCACAATTCTACTTGGTTGAAGATCACAAAATCTATTTTGGCTTCGATCCACATCATCTCCTCAAAGGAATGCGCAATAATCGTTTCGCGCTTGATTATCAGCTCCAAGTGATGGAAACTCATTCTTTCCCAAAAAAAACAAGACTTTTTGAGGAGAAAACGATGCCTTCAAATGATGAAGGAATGAATTTCAACGAGAAAAGTATCGTCTTTGATAGGAAGAGTGAGGTTGTTGGGAACAGAATCTCTTGGGGGGCAATCAGAGAGCTTCGGAAAGTAGAAAAATCTAGTGTCGTGCGGGCAGCTCCTAAACTCACCCATAGGCATGTCGAAATGCATCGATTTTCGAAGATGAATGTTTCTATGGCGGCTCAAGTTTTTAGTCATTTGGTTTCGCACGCTTTGCGCACGGGTTATGTAACTGGGGATTTGAAGCATGAATCATGCATTGCGACCGCGGATTTTCTCGAAAAAGTTAACAGACTCTTTGATTACCTCAATGCCCGTTGCCGTTTCGATTCAAATCCTTTTCGTCGCGGTTTAGCGCAAAATGATACTCGTGTAAAGGATACATCGAACGAGGCTTTACTGTGACTCGCTAATTTGAATGTTAAAGGTGGGAAGAATCCCCCTACCTTTACCAATTTTACATTGACGATCAAAAATATTCAGGCTTTATGGGAAGATCTTCGGGCAGAGAGTGTTCCATATCTTCTCACTCCATGACATCTC